ACCTGGTGGGTGTTTGAATGATTATGAGAAATTAACCTTGTAAACTCAAGCGAGGAATTGTCATGTGACTTCAGTCATCAGTCACTGGTGAATAAACTACTAGACCAATGGGAGAGAGCTAAATAATTATCCCCTCTGTTTGTTCTTGCCTGGACATGTTAATCAAAAGGACAATACAGAAACACTGATGTTGATATTTAAATGTATCATTAACTAGAGTTAGTCCATGAGCTGATTAAATAAATGATTTTGATAATCAAATAGTTGTTTCAATCATTATTTAAGCAAAATGCCAAACATTCGCTGGTACCAACTTCTCAAACGTAAGGGTGTCCCACGTAGTCATAGAAATATCTTCGCATTTGGACTGTAAAGTTAAGTAATTTGAGTATTATAATGGCCATTTTTTTTATATTTCATTTTACAGAGTCAACAATCAAATATTCTGGAGATTAACTGATGATGAAAGTCCACGTTCAAACCCCAATTTCATTTCTTGCCAACTGCTTTATGGACTATCGATTACTGAAAGTTGCAAACAATTTTGGAAGCAGCCAACCCAACTGGCACTTTAATCCTCAGTTGCAGTCCTATTAATAACTAGGTACACTTAAAGAAGAGCACTTTAATGCCCAAATGCTTCATTTTGTTGCCTCTGAAGCTCCACTGACTCATCTGGGGACATGGTGCAGGCTCAATCAGGTCTTTATGTCCAGATCCAGCCCCTAAACTGGCACAGAGCTAAAGCAGTGATGTTTTCTAGTGTCACTTTGGCCTCCAGTCATCTGTTCTTACCAGTGAGATCTATGTCTGCTTTCATGCTCGAGTCCATTTCTGTGAAAATTTCCTGGAAGTGATCGCTGACGGCCGCCAGAACAGCTCTGTGGGCCAAGTAGGGTCGCCCGTTTGTGCGCAGGGTAATGTCACAGAACAGCCCCGCCTCCCGCTGACTCCTCAGCTTGCTCAGCATGTCAGCGCTGTGCGACTCCATCGTCTTTGTGACACATTCCCTTCCGCCCAGCTCCTGAGAGGAGAAGACAGGAAGACGGAAGCAGATAGAGAGGCATCGTTATAGGAACGCGTCGTGTGAGAAAGCGCATAAAAAGTGTGAGAGCGGGATTAAGTGAGAACGAGAGCGAGAAAGTGATAATTAAAATGTGCAAGGAGGAGAAAGACGAGGAACGGATAAAAACAAAGAGGGGGCTGAAGGTTTGAGGAAAATTACCTCGGGGTTGTTTTACTTATCGGATTACAACTCCCTCTTTGACTCTGGGCTGCGACTTACCTCTGGTTTCTTGGTGCGCCGACACTCTAGACAGCCCAGGACCAAATCTCTGATCTGGAAGTACATCCCTGTGAAGAAAACATTAATGCGAACATCAGATTACATATGCCAAAGAAGACACATATTCATTTGTGGTACAACTTCAAAGACTCATTGACCTGTGTCATCTCACAGACCAGGAGCATAGTGAACAGCTGTCCTTCATGTTTGGGTAAGTTTGATCTCTGATTGAGTCAATCATCAGTAAATAAATAAAACCCTCCAATTAAAAACAGGCAAGGTAACCAGTAAGAAGACAGAAGTTAGCTGACAGAGTCCAGATGTTCCTACCTTCCCACCAGTAGTTTTCAGCCACGCATTTGTAGGTCTCCTCCAGGGAGAGATGGCGCTGACCAGGCCGCCGCCGGTGAAAGGTGGAGATGGCCTCATGTCTCCGGTCCTCGTCCAGAACCTCCCGGTAGTTGATGAAGCCCCTCTCCAGCTTCTTGCGGTACAGCATCCCGTCGATCATCTCAAAGTTGGGCGCCCACCGTGCCGAGGGTCCACACCCTTTGGAGACCCCGGCTGACTCCATCCCTCCGGCTCCCTCTCGGTCTCCATCCGACCCGGGTTTGGACGGACAAAACGTCTCTGCGTCCGCGTAATGAGCGCTGGTGTGGGTGCAGTCGCCGGCCATTTTAACCGGTTTTATATTCTGGTGTGAAAAGTAACTTTGTCCAGGCTGAGAGGGACCACAGCTTCTTCCTCTTTGAAGTAAGAAACAACAACAACAACAACAACTCTCTGTAGCTCCGGCCGGCTCGCTCACCCTTTGCGCTTTTCCCGGCGGAGAGCTGCGAGCCAAACTTTACCCACCGACCTGAAACGAAGTCCACGTGGATACGGTGACAGCAAACAGACCACCGACCTAACAATAAGTCCCAACACACACACACACAGACACACTCTCTCTCTCTCTCTAGACAGCCTGCTAACAGACCGGCGGACCCCGGTGGACGGCTACAAAGCCACACAGCTACAACGATCCGTACCGTCTCTCATTGTGGCTTATACAGAAACCTAGTCTTTCCTGGGGATACAGAAGAAAGTCACCATCAGATGGGAGTCCGCAGCATTTCACTGGAGGCTTTGTACCCTAGCTGTCAGTGAGGGCATCATCACTTCTCTCTGTCCGAACAGTCACCGCTAACATCCCTAAAATATCAACATAGTTGCACTTTCTGTTCGGGGAAAACATTCGGTCATATTTCTGTTTTCTTTTTTTTGTTTTTTTTGTTTGTAACGCTAAACATGCACACGAAATGTTCTTGACTTCTCCATCCAAGTGTGGATAATAAATGCAGCCAGGAGGAGTATCGCGCCAACAAAACGCCGAGCCAAGTGATGTAAAGTCGCCACTTTCACGGCGACCGCGTAAACAGGCTTCACCGCTAACCGCTCACCAACCGACCGTCGTCCATCTATCTCAGGGTCCGGGAGTGGCCTCCGGGGCTGGGGGACGGCGGACAGCCTCGCCGCTGGCGTTAACTTGAGATTTCTTTTCGCCAACTCGAGTCGGAAGCAACATGATGACGCAGCTATCAGCTCAGCATCGCCACTTCAACGACCTAAAAGCGAGGTTGCCTCCGCTAACAGCCCGAAATGTTACAAATCACCGCCGGGTCCCCTCAAAAGCGACCCAACAAGCTCCGGTTAGACACCCGACATAGTTCATTCCTCTCTCGCTGCCGCAAATCCAGTCTGGCGGCCAAATAGTCCAATTTTTTAAACTCGTAACCTTCTGTTTGTTGCTAATCAGCAGCCTAACTGAGCCTAGCGTTCCCCCGCCTTCAGACAAAGGCCATTAGCAGAAGCTTTAAAGAGCCTCTGCACGACGAAATGTGATTGGCCGATGGAGCTGTCACTCAAGTTAGTTTTTCTGCCATTCTAGCAAGGTAGGTTGCTCGCTACACGACGCCAGCATACTAGTATTTGCTTCACTTGCTGCCCAGTCAAGTTAAACATGATACACCTTTCTTACAAAATAAAGGATGTGAACGTTGTCGAGGTTTTTATCCTCTGAAAAAAATGACCTGACATTATTTAGGTAGAACAAATACTATCACATGATTTTAGACTTTAAAATGTTAGCTGTCACTATCATGTTAATGTCTGTTACAAATATTGTAATACAGTATTTCAGTAATACAATTGTTTTGGGTCCAATTTTGCAAAAGAATTTCAAACCTCAAATCTCAAAACACCAAATGCAACCCTACGAATTTTAGCCTCATAACCTCACACAGAACAGAAAATGAAAACATCTGTATCAAATACACCACCCAGTAGCTCAACATCACAACATTGTACGTTCATTACTGAATTAATTCATATTTAATCCTTGTTGCATTAAAACAAGTTATTATAGAATACTGCTGTCAAACAGTAGATAATTGTCATTAAAACAAAGAAATGGTAAATTTCCTCAAGATTATACGAGAAGAAATCAGCAATTTGTGCAGTGTTTGTAAATACAGATCGGGTATAGATGTGTATGACTTTACACCACAGTAAATCCTACATTCATACAAAACAAAATGAGGACTGTGATGGTCAAATGTTTTGCTGTTTTGGTTTTAATTTAAAGACACTAAACCTTACAGTTTTCTGGTAAAATGCAGCGAACAAAAATCTAAGGATATAATATTAAAACACAATTTACACCACAGAACAAACCAATATTCCTCTTTTTCTTTCCAGCATTGCCACAGCGGTGAACTCCATTAGCAATTATTATGGCAATATTAAAATAATGAGATATGCTTGCAAACACATGCTGCACAATCTGTACATTTAATTATAAGCACTGAAACTTATATGAAAGGTGTGTGTTAAGATTTAGTTTTACTCTTTGTATGTTAGGTCGGCATTTTGTGTTTCAAGGTAAGAATTTACCAACTCTTGTTGGTTCTTTGTATTAAAAGGTTTGCAGAGTGAAACCTGCGGCAAATCAATCGTACAATACTTTAATTACACTCAGGGCCACCATTGAAGACACAGGACACATCCTCTGTATTTGGAGGATTTATCAGCCTTGGAGTATTAAAACATACACGTGCTGGATGATGCCTGTATTTCAATTCAATTCAATTTTATTGTATAGCGCATTCATAACAGAAGTAATCTCAGGACACTTTTAGACCAAACTCCTTATAACATTATTTACAGAGACCCAACAGTACCAGTATTTAAGTGTCATTATGTTTAAATTTAAATTTTCTTCTGTGACAATTGAAAGTGAAGTATTCATTGTTTCTCTACCAGCATGGAGAACATTTAGATGACGTAGAGAATTAAAATCTATAGAAAATATAACAGTTACATGTAACATATAACTGGAAACCGCAAATAAGAAAAATTAGACTTGTTTTTCCTTTGCAGTCAAAAACTTCTGACCTGAGGATTTTTTAAATCCTGGCTAGACCTGAATTCATGGAGACAAACATGCATGTCTACTAGCAAACTTTGCATCATTAATTCTACATTTCTGTATCCCTTTAAAGATGTCTCAGGAGGTATAAGGCTGCGAATCCATTCAGCTTTAACACAAAGACAGCCTATGAATGATCATTTTCCAAATAGAAAATAACCTTTTACATAACTGCCAGCTGCTTGTTGTTAAGGAAGCATGAATCATTCCACAGCCCTTTTCTGCAAACCGCTTAAACATGCCACATATATGAAACATCCTTTATTAGAAAATGAGAAAATGACTCTTAAATGCTTGACAATGTTGAGTTTTTCCACTCAAGTTGTTTGTCAACAGTCTTAAGATTAAGACTGTATTCAAAGGCCTCACAAGGAAATAAAACCTGAATCGCTTTTCTTTTTTCTTTCTCAGGCTTTCAAGGGCAATTTGTTTTACAATCACATATTAGTGAAGAGATGACAGAACTTTCATTTTTTTACAGCAGCACTTAAGCATCTGAATGTAAAAAAAAAATCAAATATAATACAATTACCTCAATACTGTATAATACAAAACACACACGACTAAAAAAAAAAAAAAGGTTAATTCAAGCACACTTACTGCAATGCAGTTTGTTGTATAAGTGAGTACATTATCTGAGGTTTAAGCTTCATCTAGTAACATCAAGTACAGACAATATCAGCCCCTAATACAATGCTATTGCACTGTTACATCCACGGGGAGCCTCAGTGGTTTTGTACTGAGGCTTCTTTAAAGGACCAGTGTGTAAGATTCACTGGCAGTGAAGATGAAGATGGCAACTTCTTCCCCTTCAAAGCGTGTAGGAGGAACTATGATGGCTGCAAAAAATGTCCCTATGTAGCACCAGTGTCTGTCCGTTCCGCTACGGCTACTGTAGAAACATGCTGGTTCAACATGGCAACCTCCATGGTTTCAGGTGATTATACACTAATCAAAACCTAGTTATCTTTAATATATTCCATTTTTGCCAATAGATCCTCTTAAATGTTACACACTGGCCCTTTAACCTTCATCCTCTGCTATATGTACTCTTTTCTGATATTCCAGTAAACACTAAGCCTGGGTGACACTGGTGTTTGCTGGGGGTTCGCTGGTCTTGGGCCGTTTGGACTCTGGAGGCTGGCACACTGGATCGGTGGGAGGAGAAGGACGCTCTGGAGAAATAGAAATGAAAACAAATCAGTGACAGAAGGGTTACACATTATAGCCTGTTTCTGTGTAGACTATGGTCCTCTGCTGTGATGTAGAAACCGTATGTAACTATAGTTATTTATTAATTTGAGATCTGTGAACATGGCAGTGAAAGTTAAAAAGAAGTTCGACTGAGCAAGAAACATGAGCAGTTCAAATGATCATACAAGCTTTAAAAGGTTATATATACAAAATTCACTTGCCACTGGATGTTGTACTAGAGCATCAGCATCTAGACCAAATCAATGCGATGGAATAAAAACTCACCAAAACCATCTTTGTTAGTCTTTCTAACAATCACCAATGCTGCTTTTGTCAAAATAAACCCCTTAATTCACCGAGTTAGATGAGAAAATATCAGGAAAAAGGGCTGCAATGGCTGCAACATGAGCCAATGTTGGAGACCAATACGCCCGTCAAAGCCACTAGAAGTGATCCCTACAGATATAGACCTTCTGTTTAACCAGGAAAAGCTGCAGTATCACAATTGCTCGCCACCAGACTCAATAAAAAAACATCCCAACTTCATTCAAAGTGGACAAACAAAATAAAACTCACTAAAACTGTCTTTGTTAGTCTTTCTACTGTCACCAACTCTGGTTTGTTCAAAATAAAACCTTAATTCACTGACGTAGATGAGAAAAACAGCAGATTCAGTCACTCAGCTTATTCTCAGCTCGGGACAACATTTCTGCACGATATCTCTACATGGCAAATACCTTACAAAGTTTACAGACCCACACCCTGGCCTTTGGCCTGCCGGGCTTGCCATAGCACACACACAATGAAGGATTATTACTGTTTTGAGTGTGCTAACTTCCGTTTTACCTCTAAACAACGTGGTTCGGGCTATCAGGCTATGCTATTAGTTTATTTACAACTTGTCTGATCCTCTCATTGCTTGTGTTTCTTGCTCCATTGGACTTTAGTGTAACAATGTCACAGTGTTCTTAGGTTTCAGCACAAGTTTACTACAAGTTTATCATACCCACTGGAAATGATGGTGAAAACTATAAAAAATAAGCCCCAAAATGTAAATGGTAAAATCGTTTGAGTTTTTACATGCTTGCTTTTTTTTTTTGCCAAACTATAAAAAACAATACATACAGCAGATGTCAATTAAGTGTCTGGATTTATAATAATATTGTATATCGAGGCACAACAAGAGCACAGTTTCTTTATAAATACACTGATCACAACTAAGGATGCACCAGTCCGGTTGTGGCCTGACTGAATGGACCGGGACATGACAGTTCATTACAAAGTTTGTTTCTTCTTACAGTTACTTATCTTTTAGCGCAATGGCAACCCCTGGCCTCATGTTACCTTACATAAGAATGCCTCCAAGGAGTTTAATGCAGTGAAGAATACAGATTTAAAATTTGGGAAAAAGTGTATAATCGGATACTCTTATTCTACTCGATATCAGGTGAGAAAAGTTGGATTGATTCATCGCTAATCATAACAGACTGCGGGACTGAGGCTGCCAATGAAGGCAGCATCGTACATGATTTTCAATCATTAAACTTCTGTTGTGAAATTTGCAGCCAAAGTGGTTGCTCTCACTAACCATGTTTGGCCTTCTCGGTGGAGGAGGGAGTGCGGAACAGTGAACTAACAGCTGGAACTCTTGATGCAACGGGAGTCAAAGATACTCTCCTGTAAACAAATAGATAAAGCATGAATGGTAGAGACCGACAGAAAACACACAGGCATATAATAGGACAATAACTGGACTCTTCTACTTCATTTATCCCGTTTTTCTTCTCTGGATTCAGTTGTTGCATACTAGTAAAACTAGTCAAGACTAGCCAAGGCAAACGTTCCAAGTTACAGATATGAGGCAAAAACAAAAGCTTGTGCAGACCTGCCATTGTCTACACACAGTCTGTCAGAGTGATTATTATTTTATTGTCAGTGGGGGGTCCAACGAATCCCTCATACCAGACAGGGCTTTGTTCTCACTGCCAGTACTAAGCACATGCACACCGACAAAAACATCCCATTACAGCTATTTATATTTGTCCTGAATTTATAGAAAAACATAAAAAAAAAAAAAACTCCCTTTACACATTTTAAATAACTCTTCTTACTTTTTAGTATTCATCTCTGTAAACTGCATCTTTAAATATAACCAGCTTAGTTACTTTAATCATTAGTGGGGGAGGGAGGTGGATGCAGTATGCTCTGTGTAGTTACTTCCTCAGTCTGACTCACAACTTATTTGAATAGTTATTTCCATAAATTACCATGTATACGCTTGTGTGAGGCAGCACATGCTTTCTTCACACTGCCTAAAGTACATGCAAACACTGTTTTAAATACCCGTAATGAAAGAGAGCGTTTAAATTACATTAATCTTGCTGCACGATTACTAACTAAAGTTTCACAGCGGCCCCGTTATGACCCCCAGTGATGGTTTCAATATACTGGCTTCCTGACACATTTAGGATTAAATTCAAAACCCTTCTGGCTACTTTTGAGGTGTTATACAATTTGGCTCCACCATAGACAAAGTTTAAGACTATTAATGACTACGCTTTTGTTGCCCTAGTTATATTATTATATTGTGGAAGTCTTCCTCTGGGGTCAGATCAGAAAACTGATCTAACTATTTAAATAGCTATTCAGATGCTTCTATCAGATTTTTTGCTGTGAAGCACTTTGTAACCCTGATTTTGAAAAGTGCTATACAGTTTAACGTCAATTACATAACATAAAATCACACAAATAACAAGTGATTGGCAGTGTGGACACTTCTGCACAGGGGTCAGTAACTAAGAGACACAAAAGTGTTCACATCATCTATCTGAATATTGCCATAACAAAGAAAAACTAATTCAAAGTTTCTAAAATATTATACAATTATTAACCAACAATGTAATAATCATTATCATTAACTCTCGCCTCTCCTTATATGCACTGAAATACCTACATGCCAACAATCAAAGCTTTGCTGTGCCTTTATACAGAGCTTCACACTTTAATAATAAAGTAACTCACGCTTTGCCCTTTACTCACTCTGACAGAATAAAACATGACGACTGGATATGCATTTACCTTGGGGTGGGCCCCTTCGGGGTGGTTGTACCCTTAGGGGTAGTGGGCCCTGGAGTATTTGCACTGTTGTGGACTTTTGGGGTGGAGGGAGTGAGGGGGGTGATGCGTGGCTGGGTTGTGGAGGAGTTGGTAGGGGTGAGAGGGGCAACACATGGTTGGGGAGTAGAGGGTGCACTTGTGCTTGCTGATGTTGGGGTCTGAGGGGCTGAAGGAGCTGTGGCTTTAGGGGTGGAGGGCTTTCCCCAGCCCTCCAGGGTATTGAGGGTGATCCTACGGGGCTGAGGTTTAGACTTGGCACTGGGGGTGCTCTTCTTCTCCTCTGGGGGGGTGACAGAGGGGGCATCTTTACCAAGGCTGGTTTGGGGTGTGGGAGTTGGGGCTGAGCTTGGTAGCTGGGTCACAGGAGATGAGGTCCTGGCCGATTTCTTGCCCTTTTTCTCAACACCACTGTTTGGGGCAAAGACCTCAAGGGTGGGGGGCTCCTTCAGTGGAGTGCCCAGCTCCCCAGGAGAGAAGGACAGGAATGAGCAATAGCCGTCTGTAGAGGACACAGCTAGGAAAGAACCATCACGAGACCTAAAGAGGATATAATAGAAAAACATGTCCGTTTTTAAATGAATATTTATAGTAATATTGTGTTTAAGAGAGGTTTATTTTCCCACAGGTACAATGAAACATTTCTTGGTCACTGTAATATTTCCTCCTGTCCATACAAGCAGAGAATAGATTGTTTCCTTATGTAATTCCAATCTAAGATATGGGGATAAAAATCCACAGTTGTCGTTCTATGTAAAAATATATTTGTCCCATAAAATGAATATTACCACTCCCTCTAGAAAAGCTGACCCTCTGTGACAATGTTGATGGATTTATTAAGATATGTCAGCCAATATTAGACATGGTGGGTGGATCCCTCTGGTCTGAACTTTGTACTATGTAATTGACAATATTGGATCTGACAACATATTGAGTAATTCAAATGTATTTATGTTATCCCAGTCGTGTATGTGGATGTGTTTCTCTTCTATTTTGTTGTGTATTGAGTTGGTAAAGTTGTGACCCCTGCTGTTTTTGTGTTTTGTTAAGGTAGTTAAAATGATTTTTATACACACACCACCTTATGTGTGTACCTACAGGACACACACCACAATTCACTCCCGCAAACAAAGATTATTCAAAAAGGTTTTAGCTAAGCAAGACTTTACCATGTAAGGTCGCTGAGTGTGTGGTAATGGACGTTGGACACCAGGCCGAAAGGAAGGGTCTGCTGCGTGTCATACAGAAAGATGGAGTCCTCAGATGCCACAGCAAACACCATGCGGTACGGCAACTGGAATACATTGGGAAGAGTCTGTATAGAACCATCTGTAGAGAAGAAAGAGAAGAAAATGAGGAGCACATCCAAGTAAAATAGAAGGGACTTAAAGGGTGCAGACAATAAAAAAAGGGAGGACTTCATTATCATCCTTGCCTTCTCCTTTTTTGGTTCTCAGTTCAAAGTAGATGGGGCAGCAGCGGACAGCCAGTGTAGCTTTAGATGGACATGGTAAGTGGGCAATAGGCCTAAAACACACAGACAGGGATTTGTGCATCAATAACAGCGTCAATATATCCAACATTGACTTTGAAAAACTATAAATATCACAGCATGCCACACAAGTTACCTCTTGAGGCTCTTCCTGGAAAAGATGTAGGTAGTATTTATGACGTTTTCTCCGATCTCCACACATCCAGCTGAGGTTAAAAGGGGTGACAGCAGAAGACAGAAATTGGTATATATAAATTATCATTATGAAGATATTATACACTAAACCTCACCAGACAAATGAGCATGCTGTGTAGGTACCTGGGGCGAGCAGGAAAGACCCATCTGGTGTGAATGAAAGACGTCGAAAAAATGACCTCATGCTGTCATCATGGAACATTCGGTACTGCTTGACCTGCAAAGATTAAAAGAAAAGGTACATATGTTACATGCCTCACTCACCTGACAGCAAGGCAGACTTTTTTTATTTTAAGACCAAATTCCCAAATATGGAATTAAAAGACAAATACTAGGAAGTTTCATGAACAAGTTTAGCCAACAGGTGGCAAAAACAGGAACAGGAGTGAGAATAAAGAGTTTCATGTAGAATAATAATAATAATCTAAAAAACACAATGACTCAACTGAGTGTAATCAAACGTTTCTACTGACCTCTCCCTCTGCAAGCGGCCCAGAGCTCATTTTACTGATACAGAAGGCCTTCTTCTTGGTGTGAGTACTGTAGACACGCATCACTCTGAAGGAGAGAAAAAAACAAGAACACCTTAAGCCTCAAGGGCTGCTGAAACCACACTATCACTGTGACTGTGACTAGCTAAGCTTCAGCAAATACGAAACAGAAACAGAAACAGAAACAGAAAGATTAGACCCATTCGGCAGGACATATGTTGTCTGAAAAAGGGTGTCTGTGTTGTTCTACCTGTCACAGCTGAGAGTGGCTACATATTGCCCCAGAGGATCCCAGGTCACCCCCTGGACGTAGCTCTTATGGTCATTCAAGATACATAGCTTCTGTCCTAAAAACACAAAAACAGAACCAACGTAATTTATACAAAGCCAAAATAACCAAATTTGCATTATTAAAATACTTTATAACAGATTAAACTGAATCAGTGGAATATACATAGATATCTATGACTCTAAGCAAACCTTTGTTGATGTCCCACATAACAGCAGTGTTGTCAACAGACCCAGACACCATGAAATTTCCATCTCGTGTCCAGCAGATGTCATAAACATCCTCTATGTGTCCTCTAAACAAAAAAAAACAAATGATAAGAAAACTCTTCGTAAAACAACACTGCTGCTACAAATTTAGATCACTCAAATAGCAAATTGCAAAATGGACATCTCTTATCTCTCCCACTTGTCTGACCTCAGTGATTTTAAGTGCTGACATTGAAAATGTCTGACATGTGACAGTCAGTTTTGCAAAGGAAGCTAAACTGGGAGACACCAGTGAGAAGATAAAATATGACTAGATACAAAATCACTGCTGCACTGTGGACTATATGTCAGGGCAGGAGTTTACAACTTCAAAATATCCTCAAGGTGTGAATGAGGGTGAATTCGTTTTTTTTGCTGATCCGGTCTGAGTCATTTAACATCGAGTACCTGCTGATACAGGGAGTTTCTCCAGAGTTTGATGCTTCGGTGCAGCCGTTGCGCAAGTTACCTGAATGAACTGTCTGTATTCTGATGAGTATTTATTTCTGTCATCACTACAGCTTTTGTGCGGATTACATGAATTAATTACCCTTATTAGCTTTTTGTTCACGGGGCTCTTGTTGCACTTTAAGTAGCGTAGTCAGTGTGGTTGTGTCGGCTCTCTACCACTGTCTGTCCCTCTTTTTACTGTTTCACCACGGGCGGGGCTCTCTGTGCTCTCAGAGCTCAGCACAATAGAGAGGCAGACAGCATACAGATCCGACAATGGCTGCACCGTGCATGAAAGCTACACAAATAAAAACAGCTGTGTGACAGCTGGCATAAAACGATTGGGTCAAAACAGCTCAATATAGCCAATACCAACCTTTGAGATTGGATCAGGTCATCCCTAGTGTGAATTATTTTATCCTGCCTTGACAACTGCACGGTGAACAATAGAATTACAAAGTAACAGTAACCACACAGTGCCACAGCCTGAGGGTCTTTAGAGGTAGAAATTGTCTTAAATTCTTGACTGGCTCAGCAGAATTGTGTACCTTAGTGTCTTGACCACAGACCAGCTCTCCTTGTTGAGCTGAGCATCTTCATCCTCCTGGAAGATGGGGGTCTGCTCAGGCTCCTTAGAGTCATTGAGCTTCCACAGCAAAATCGCTGCATCTGAAACCAAATAAAAACCACACAATTACTAAAGGCCGGTGTATTTTGTATTTTAGCCGTAGTACCATAGTAGAATTTCTGTTTAGAGAATAACATCCCCAATGTCTTAGTGGTACCTTAATAGTGACCCTTAAGACTTTACATAGCACAGATTTTCCCTTGCATCTGTGTGTTACATGTGACATACCATCTCCTCCTGAAGCAAGCAGCTCTCCATTAGGGCTGAAGCGCACTACGTTGACAGCCTTGGTATGTCTGGCCAGATTAGACAGAAACTCCACCACGGCCTTCCCGTCTGGGCCCGTGTCTACCCGCCACAGCTGCATCGACATCAGGGTAAACGGTCATTAAACAGCTTACATACCACAGCTAAAGGTAAATATAAACCGATTATTTACTCATTTTTACTCGAAGTCATATTTTGTAAACATATGTAAGGTGTGTTTTGCTAGTAATTTGCGTATCAATCATACAACTTCATTGTAAAATATGGCGGCTTGAGGATGACTTATCTTACGGTATACTATTTGATTACAAATGTACAAAAAGAAGACGATTCTTACTGCTTTGCTCATACCTATTGATGTATTTTTAACAGGTTAAATATGTAAAAATCTGGTTAATGAAGTAAGCGCTGTTTGGGGAATCCTGTGTGTGACACATTCACCCATTTGAGGTCCTGGGAAAGGCCCTCATTATGTCCTGTTAAGTATGTCAGTATGAAAATGCTTATTATTTGATATATATTGATATTATGTGACGTTTTCTTCAACAGAAAGCACAAAGCCCATTCTTTTTGGACCTGCACATTTGCCATTACACCAGCAACCATTAAGTTTGCTTTGATGGTAAAGTCCATGCGCATAGGTAAAGTAACATTTGCTTTGTGTGATAAATCCATGCATGCAAAGATTTACATCATGGCCATTAAAGTGACTCTTGGTCAGACACATCCGTTATCTTACAAAACTGTTGGTTCATCACTGCATTACAAACCAGATGTTCTCCACTCACTCTGACTGTGGTGTCCACTCCAGCTGTGGCCAGCCGATGAATGCGTCCATCTGAGCTGTGCTGGAAGTCCAGACTGTAGACTGGCTCCTTGTTGTGCCATGCGATCTCACACGTTACCAACTTCATTTTGTATAACCTCAGGAAGGAAAACACATGATACTTCAGACTAGGGCTGCACAATATGGTAAACATTCATATATGCAGTTATGTTGACAGATATTACGATTGCAATAGGATTCATGATTAGTGGGAATTATAGTTTTTGCATCACAATTTTCATTGGGATATTTTTTTTTTAAAACCATAATGATGTGATATTTGTTTGAATCTGTAACAAACCTGTTTTCTTACACCAATAATAAGATTTGTAGGCCAGAGCATCTCTGCAGCACGACAGTGCTTCATTATAATGCTGTTATTCTGTTGATTTACATATTACACTCGGCCATATTGCAATTTCGATAATATTTCAAATAATTGTGCAGATCTACTTCAGACAAATTTAAATGGTCTGGTATTTGCTCAGCAGCTAGCACGGTCGGATATCTACATGTTGCACAATATGGACCCTGTATAAAGTAACGCAGAGTTAATTAATGTTAATTTTGCCACACAGTCACTGAGACTGCTACAATTAGCTAACGTAACATCGTTAGCGGCTCTGTTAGTCTGATTTGTGGCTGAAGTTATGGAGGAACCACAACAACATGTAAGTGTGTACATGAGTCACTGTTCGCTAACAACTATGCAAATATACAAAATACAAATACAGTTTTATCTGTTTATTCTTTGGAGTTATATCGAAGTAGCTTACAGTGTGTTACCGTCTCCGTTGTCCAGCTGAAACGAGCAGTAATTTCCCGCGTATGATTCGTTCAAAACTTCCGGTTGAGTAGGCTGCAGTGATTGGACGAAAACCCGGAAAAAGAGGCGACTTTCGGTGTCGTCACTGTATATATGTCTATGCGTCCCCCCCTTTTTTTCTTCTTCTTCTTCTTCTTCTTTTTGTTTGATTGGCGGCTGGCATCCAGCTTCCCCCCCTTTTTTTGGGGCACGTTCAGTTTTATTCAACCTCGTAGGAGTAATAAGATTACAGTGGTAAACATATTGATTACATTTCAGTTCAAAATGCTTTATTGGCATGAGTGTAGCACTATTGCCAAAGCATTAAGATGTTAGATTGAACTAAAAAATAAAAGTTATAATTCATAAAAATCAAGAAAATAATTTATTTGTTTGTGACTAAATTGTTCCGACCTGCGTCTCATCCCCACTCTCTCTACCTCCCTTTCCTGTCTATCTTTGGCTGTCCCCCTGTCAAATAAAGGCGATAAAAAGGCAAAAAAACATAACTTTAACATTTACAGATGTAATCATACATTAATGGTTTATGTAAACAAAGTTTAAGTTTAAACATTTACCTTTCCACTACCCTCTCAAATTGTGTGAAAGATATTTGAAGATTTGTTGACTAAACTGAACTGGTGGCTGTAAAGGTTACCCAGTATTAATGATCTGTAAAAGGTGGAAGACTTTAAGGTTTGTTGAAAAGCTGATGCTAAACTGAATAGATGAGAGCAGCCCATCCTGGTACTTTGGCCTTGCTTCAAGCCCCGCCCCCTTTTGGGTGAAAGCAGCACCTTTAATTTGACTGGCTTTACATATAAATTCTGAGGTCTTAAAGCAACAGAGCTTTTCTTTTACTGCCTTTTGCTCTTTGGGGAAGTAAAGAAAGTCATAACATGGGTTTTATATTGTCTGATATGCAAGATGTGATGCAATTTTACAGCTTGATGATTGAATGATACACTGCAGTCTGCCCTTTTGTCCTTGGGCAGTGCAGCAGCGACCAGGATGGTTGATAGATGAGGATGGACTCGATGATGGCAGTGTAGAAGGTGCACCATCATTGTCTTTTGGTAGTTAAACTTCTTTATCCGCCGCAGGAAGTTACATCCTCTGCTGGCTTCTTGGTGAGAGCTGATGTTCAGCTCCCACTTGAGGTCCTGGGTAATGATGGTACCCAGGAAGCGGAAGGACTCCACAGAGTCAACTGGGGAGTCACACAGGATGATGGGGGCGGGTGGGGCTGGGTTCTTCCTGAAGTCCACAACCAACTCCACTGTCTTTAGAGCTTTTAGCGTTGTTCTTGCTGCACCAGTTCACCAGATGGTCACTCTCCCATCTGTAGGCGGAATCAGAATCGGGGTGGTGGTGTCATCCGGGAACTTCATGAGCCTGACGAACTGGTGACTGGAGGTGCAGCTGTTGGTGTACAGGGAGAAGAGCAGAGGAGAAAGAATGCAGACTTGGGGAGATCTGAGCTGGGATGATGGTGTTGAAGTCCACAAACAGGATCCTGACATGGGGAGTGCAGGGCCATGTTTACTGCATTGTCTACAGACCTGTTGGCTCTGTAGGCGAACTGCAGGGGGTCCAGGAGTGGGTCCGTTATGGCTTTCAGGTGGGAAAGCACAAGGCGCTCAAAAGACTTCATGACCACAGAGGTGAGGGCAACAGGTCTGTAGTCATTGAGTCCTGTGGTCCTTGCTTTTTTGGGGACGGGGATGACGGTGGAGGCTTTGAAGCAAGCTGGTACATGACATGTTTCCAGTTAGGTGTTGAAGATCATTATACTCAATGTAAATTAACTGGACACTATTTACCATTCTATACATGTGGTGTCACTATTTCTACTGCATTGTAATCTAAAACAATGTCTGGGCCAGGATAGAGGCCTTTTGAAACCTCCGTACCAATATGCCTGTTTTGTTCATTCAGTCCATGTTCTCTTGTCATTTACTCATCAGTCATTTCCCATTTATTGAATGCCTGACCATGATGCACACACACCCACAGAGTGACAAAACCACCAACAAACATTTACCACATGGACCCTGTGACAGTTACTGACATATGTCACAGCAGTCTGCGTTGTCACCATTTACTGAGTGAGTGATTATAAACATTACTGTTGCTAGTGAATTATCATATATTTTATTTTTTGGCATACTCTTATAATGTGGTGAAAGTCAGCAGAAAAATGAATGGCAAAGGCAATAACATGAAAGAATTATCAAAAAAGTGAAAACTTCATTCTTGACGACTGAGCAAATGCGTGTGTAACATTAAGCAGAAATGGACTATTAAATTTCAGTGGCGGCTCCTGACAAATTCCTCAGGGGGGGCAACTGTTGCGATGATGGCTAAGATGACCCATTCAGTGGGTAAAATAATAATTAATACTAATAATTACATTGCATTGTCTAATTTGGTTTTCCTGTTCAACCACTTGATGGCAACACCAGACATGAATTGTACATACTGTCCATATGCATCTTCGATGCTTCATGTTTCTTCACCTTTTCCAAGAGATGGTGCATATCAGTGACACCTGTCTTTGTCCAGGCAGTGTCCGTGTTGGCATGAGGGTGAATTAGGACACAGGGGTAGCAGAACAGAGCATTAGCCACTTCACACCCTGCTAGCCATGTTTTCCGCTCATACCAGCTCCGGGAAAATCTGCAACTGTATGTTTTTCCAGCTTTTGTTGACACCTGCTTGATATTTAAATTTGGTCTAGGTGGTCCGAATTCTTTAATAGCCAATTTATGAAGATTGCTTCAATGACTGAACGGTAATTCCCTCAATGAAATGATGGAGTTGCAGTTACTAGCCATGTCGATCTTGCGGTCTCCCGACGCGTGCGTGCGCTGTGCGTATCGTCCGAGCACGCATCAGTACGTATGGCGAGTCACGTTGGGGCAAGCCCTCCCGGAGCCCATAGAAATAAATTGTAGGGTCCAAAATTTGAAAAAAAGAATCTCAACATGTAAGTCTATGAGAGCGCCCGGGGTGATTTTCAGTCTGACTGAAATCGCCCCAAGGGGGCGGGGCTGCTGGTTGGACAGTGACATTCAGGCTGCTGATTGGACAATAATATTAAGACCTTTATATACAGTCTATGATTAAGACTTAGACTGGCAAAATAAACTCTTTTTTTCTCTCTTTTTTCGTGTGGAGGGCGGTGCAGTATCGCCCACTATGGGCCAGCCGCCCCTGTTAAATTTATAGGTATGTTTTCATTAGTGAAAATAAGAACTATTGTGTTATGATTACTTTAGAATGTACATGTACAGAGGGACCATTTTTCTATAGTAACCCAGAACTGACAAATCAAACACTGCATCTAGATAGGGCCTTTCACGTTTCGCATACTCTTTGGAAAGGTGAGCTGTATTCAGTGTTACCAGAGGTACATTTCTAAATTGCACATTGTTCTGCAATTTTGGTCTTGTACATGTAGTCAGATAGATGGTAATGGTAAATGGACCTGTACTTGTATAGCGCCTTTCTAGTCTTCCGACCACTCAAAGCACTCTTACACTACGTGCCACTACTACTACCTCTCTGTATTTTCATTCATCATTTCATCTGTGTAGTTCAACCTTTGTTCACAAGGTGTTGACCTAGGTTTACAATCTTGCATGTTGAACCTTTCCAGGATTTTTTCCACATATCTCTTCAACGACATTTTTACACAGTTCTCACTGTGGTCAGAATCAATACCAAGGAAATGTTTCAGTTTACCCAAGTCTTTCATCTTCAATTTTGCTGTGAGCATCTCCTTTACAGTCTTCAATGCATTTTTATCACTTGTAGCAATTATCATGTCATCAACCCATATTATCATGATCACTTTCTCTTTTTCTGTTTCTCTCTTAAACACAATGATCTGCAGGATTTTGCACAAAGTTGTTTTCACTTGGATACTAAGAAGAAGAAGAAGAAGATATACTTTGGGGGAAATTGTTTTTTTTCACTCTTTT